CCTTGGTCCAACCATGTCTCTGAGAAAGCAAAAATGTAGAATTTTTCAACTAATATTAAGTTAACAACCGCATCGAAGTCCGACATGAGAGATCTGCAATTCAAATGACCTATTCTTAAGTTATTATTCATATTGAATTCTTGATTTAAGTTGATCTAATTTATTTAGATAGTACGAACATTGTAAGCTGTTAACATAGTGATCAGTCGGACAATTGGTTTTCAATTTATTGTTACTGCAATTGATACAGATAAGATTAGCTGAACTGCAGTTTCTCTTTTCGTGACTACCTGAGCAATTAGGGCATATGGCAGAATGATTTTTGCAGTCCTTTTTATATGTCCAAACTTATTACATTTATAGTACCTAACAATATTAAATGTTCTTTTATGCCACATTTCTTCCAGCCAGCCTACAAAAAACCCCTTTTAGATAACGTTTTTGAAGACAGAAGGAGAAACTTCTAAAACAACATTAACAGTATTTTTATGCTCAAGTTTTGTAACCACTCTAACATCATTTACAGGGACCCTGGGTTCATTGTCTCCAATTATGTTATCCGAAATCTGAGGATTATCAGCAGCAGACTTATCCACACCCTGAACTAAAATCCTTGGACGTAGATATCAAAGTTGTTTCCAGCTTCCCGCTTAAGGCCATCTTCCAAATTCTGCAGAGATTTTATGTCAGCACAATTAATTAGTATACTCTCTTTGATCAGTTTTGTGCCAGTAACATTGGCTTTCATAGCACCTGGCCTAAATTTAGATTTCACTTCTTTTTCTAACTCCGCATTCCCCATGTTCTGATCTGTTGATTTGATTACTACTACTGCTGGTGTGTTTTACTTCTTTTTGCAAGAGCTGAGTATTAAACGTGTCAGTATATTCTTTGTTGATTTCTGCACAGTTTTTACAGCGAAATTCTTCTCTCTTCAATGTGACAATCCTAACAATTGCATGGAAACACTTCCCATGAAGTACTCTATCACAGTTGGCATTAGAACATTTCACTTCACTGGGTGAACAGAATTTAGCGCAAAATTTGCATTTATTATCGGGAGGTCTAGTCGGTTCGATCGGCTGGCTCGACATGGCGATCGAATGATCAATGTTTTCGATCCGCGTACTCCTGCTATCTAAGCTCACCGCCCGGCGAACCGGTCCGGCTGACTACCGGTGGGGTAGCGAAATAATTATATGGGCCTGTTTGACTGATAACCTGTTTAATTTCTCGGTTGTACCTACATGTTTCTAAATGAATTTTTTCTCAGAGCTGAATTTAATCCTGTATGACCTAATGACGGCGTTGCATAGGAAGTGCATAGTCAAACTATTTGACGCAGTTTATTAATTTCCTTTATATATGCGGTTATCAGGTTTATAATATAGCTTCAGATTAAACCAACAAAAAAGTTTACGTCAACTTATGTATCTTTCGATGCAAGATCTTAAAGTGGATTTCTTCTATTACTGAAATTTTCGATTTCTCTTAGATCACATTAGTGAAATTCTGCGAACCGGCGGTAGGCATTAAGAGACTTCATTTTTGTAGTGGTTATATCCAACTGAATTACCACAGGGGTGGCGCTATCAAATTGGAGGCCGAGGTATCATTGACCTTTTCGCAGCTGTATTGTCTCTGCTAAAATGAGAAACCGGGGACCTAGGACACTTTGCATTTCACCCATCAGACCTATGGCAAGTGTATTAAAAGAGAACACGCACAAAGGTGCATTAAAACGTCTTATACCTTACGTTTGGCTATCGCTGGACAACTCCTCAGTTACCCTGGTGCATGAAACACCACAATGTGTGTCCATCAAAAAGCTTAGGATTGCCATTGGCAATGCGACGGATTTCCTCCCATTGAAATAGAAATTCTTATTGGATGCCTCGGACATAATTTAAGACTAACGTGTCTAACCCGATAGCGGTACTCAAAATGGTAGCAAACGAATTTATGAAGTACACTAATCAAACAAATATAGTATTGAGAGTAATTGATACAATGCCCTCATCAAAGTGCAACCTTTTTCTTTGATAGAGCGCCAAATAATCAATGTAGTGAACAATTCAATGAAAATGGTTGTATTTTTAATGGAAATAACTCAAATAGTTCAAAATTAATTCATCAAAATGTGCAATGCCTTAGTAACAAACTACTTGAGCTTGAAGTGTTTCTAAATGAAAATAACTGTGATATATTATATAACTTGAAGACCTTTTAAATATTTTAAACATTAAATGTAAAAAATGTGGTATTGTCCTTTGTGGTGATTTTAACATAAATTTTAACGAAAACTCTTTAGATTTAAATTGTCTGTTGGATGTTTTAAGCTCATATTCACTGAAGCCTGTTATCAAACAACCTACGCGAGGATCTAATTGCATAGACAATATTTGTGTAGGGGTGGATGTAAAGTGTGATACTGCTGTAGTAAACAATAATGTTAACGATCATTTGCTCAATTATTAACTCTATACGATCAAAA